CAACTCAGGTGTATCTTTTTTAAAATTCTACCCCCAACACAAAGTGACGGTCTATTAATTGCACAATATATAAGCTATTTACATACACTATCTATTAACCAATAAACCTTACATAACAAACGAAAATAATAGCAATATCAATTATTTTTTTCATTTAATTTTTTGGTTAAATTATATGATTACGTGGATGTAAAACCAATTTTCCATTTTATGGAAAGAATATTACAGGATCCACAACCATAACTTACTAAAAATGGTATGAGTTATCCAATTATATAGTAATAGATAGATATAACTAATAAATTCTTGACAGTGTTTGAAAATAAAATAGATAACAAATATTTTACAACTTTTTCAGAATTATAATAAAATATAATTTTCTTTTGTAGTCTAGTTAATAAAGTTGTATTTAAAAGAAAATAAAGAGCAATACACTACAAAAAAATTGGTATATTCTAACGGAAAATCCTATGATAATATATTCCAATAGAAATTCCAACAGATATTCCAATGGTATAGCTTCCGTTGAAATGATTCCAACGGAAATTCCAACGGAAATATTCTGTTGGAATGTATTTTTTATTGGGATCTTAGATAGAATTTGATAATTCCAACGGCTATATTTTCAACGGCTTTTGACGGTAGGAGTTTCCATTGGAATATGCAATTTTTGTTGGAATTTTTATTTCCACCTCCGTTGGAAAATATACCGTTGAAATCGTCAAAATCCAACGAAAATTCCAATGGAAAACTCATTCCAGCGGAATATTTTTGTTGGAATTTCCATTGGAATTATTCCAACGTAAATAATAGCATTGAAATGTCCATTGGAATTGCCGTTGAAATTATATTGGAATATATTTGCGTTGGAATTTCATCATTTTCTTGTAGTGATAGTGCGGTAAACGAGCCGATCCAAATCTAGCTTATGTATTTCGAGCTCGAATTCTACTAATATTCGAGTTTGTTCATTTAACAATCAAGCCTAAATTTATGTTTGTTTTCATTTGTTTAGTTGCTGGTTAAGTAGACGTTCGTTCAATGGGGTTGATGCAAAAGAATTAATATTATTTTATCAAAAATTAATTACAAAATTGGTAAAAAAAAAAATATGGGAATAACAAAAATCTTGACACTAGGCTGATCTTAGAACTTTTAGATATTAAAAGACTCAGGTCTTAAGGTCTACTAGTATATATCAAGAGTTAATGCATGTGAATCAACCGAAAATCATTTATTCATGCAATAATATTTTAGAGATCTTATTTGATCAACGAGTAAGTTTAATTTCTAAGATATCGCAGAATTCGATCCAAGCCATGAACCGAACTAACTTTGAATACCACGTCAACTAAAAATTTTAAACATAATGTTAATAAATACACTCCATAAACGTATAACATAATGTTAGTTACACTCCATCTTTGTATTCAATAGCCGAATAACATAATCATGCCACCTCCATCCCCACCACAACATACAAATAAAATAAAATAAAATAAATACGTCACCCCAACATAATTTCTTTGGGTTCATGTATGTTGTGGGTCATTTATGGGTCCATTTCCAAAGTCTTGAAATAGATTGGTTATGCAATCAAATTCGAAAATTGTGCACTACCCACAAATNTCTTCTTTCAGTTGCTGTCATAAATTTAGGAAATATGGTTGTCGTGATCAATTATTGAAGTCCCTCCTCGTGTTTCACTACTCTACAAAATCATATGTTTTGGCTAGATCGTGAATTATGATGAATCCCTTTCAACCCAGCCTCCTCCGTACGTAACGCTCTCCTGCCCTCACAAGGAAAAATAATAACAAAATAAATATAATAATTTTAATTATAAAAAGTTTAATGATGATTCTATTATTTATGAATAGTGATTGCTATTTGTTTGGATGTTGAATGTGAAACTTTAATCAAAAGTGGCGAGCACAATAGAGATGAATTCACGTTAAATGGCTAGATTATTTAGTAACACAGAAATTCAATTGATGGGTATTTGAAATTTTAATTTGAACATGCTTTGAAGTGACATCGGCTTCTCACTATTTTAAGACTGCATTGCCTAAAATAATGTTAGTCCAAATTGTTTCAATGAATAGTCCACTTCTCCAATTTCCATCATTTTCTTTCACACGGCAGTTTTGTTGTTTTGCGATGGTTGTAAAACCTATAATTATTGTCCTT